GGTCCTTTGTCATTTTTTATTTTTTAAATTTTTATTTTGAGACAGGGTGTCACTAAATTGCCCAGACTGGGCTCAAACTTGCAATCCGCCTACCTCCACCTCCTGAAGTGTAGGGATTACAGGTGTGTACCACCACCCCCAACTCACTTTAACCAATTTTACATACACAGTTCAGTGGCTTTAAGTACATTCACGGTTTTATGCAACTGCCAGTGTGTCCTTTTTCGTTTGACTTTGTGGTAGATTTTTGGAGTGCAGAACATTTTTATTTTAATGTCATCAAATGTACCAAGATTTCAGCTTATGATTTTTATGTTTTATGTCATATCTGGAAAAGACCTTCCTCACTCTGAGGTTTTATTTTTTAAAATCTTCTGAGGTCCTGGGCATGCTAATACATGCAGCCCTGCACTCTGGAGGCTGATGCAGGACAATTGTAAGTTGGAATACAACTTGAGCAGTTTAGCAACTTACTGAGACTTTGTCTCAAAACAAAAGGTTTTTTTAATTAAAAAAAATTTTTTTAAAGAGGCTGGGTATATAGTTCAGTGTGAAGACCCTCGGTTCAACTGCCCAGTATTGAAGAAAAATAAACAAACAAACAAAAAAGCCCCCCCCAAAATCCTGAGGTTTCTTCTGGTATGTTTATAGTTTCATTTTCCCTACCTTATTCTCTTTTTTAAATTTTTATTTATTTACGAATTTATTCTGGTGAGAGGTATTATGGATCCCACTTTATTATTTTCTTAATGCTAACAGCAATAAATATCAGACAAATGTATATTAAGTCCATATGGGAAAAAACAACAAAGGAAGCCAAGAAGATTTTGTAAGTGGGGGACCACAAAGGGACTTGTTGGAACATGAAGAATTAGTCCCACCAACAATTGTAACATATTCCAAATCACAGTAATTAAAATAATGTGGTCCTTGGTACACAAACAGAACAAGATGAACAGAATTTAGTATCAAAATTGAGTGCAGAGACATCAACTAGACAGAACTGCCATCTCTCTTGAGTGTTTCTATAAAAGAATATGCTACCCTTTTTCATCTGTTTGCATATCTGTTTGTGTATCTGTTACTACCCTCAAACAACAGTGCTGCAGCTTTCCCACCCCAAGTCTCTGTCCCCTGGAAGCCAGAGTGAAAATTTACCTGTTGAGGCTCAGTTTCGGGTTTAAATTCTTTCCACAGAATGATTTCTAATACACTGGACTTCCCAGTCTCTTTACACAATGTGGACAGTTGTGGTGACAAAGTTTAATTCACTGCACACTTACAGCTATGCACTGTTTAAGGACAGGATACAACTTACGTGTAAAGTGGTTTTGTCCTGTAAGTGTCCTGTGAGTGCTCACCATACCTATCAGATGGTAGAGCCTGCCACACACCTAGGCTGTAGGACAGAGCTTATTGCTCCCAGGCTGTGAATCTGCACTGCCTGGCTCTCCACTAGAGATGGGAGGCAACTGTAGTGCAAAGGGATTTGTGTATCTGAACACAGGAAAGTAAAAACACTGTATACAATGCTTGTTACAGTAAAAAAATATATATACAGATAGAAATATAGTACAGTATAAAAAAGAATAGATGCCACACCTGGATAGCACCCTTACCAGGAACAGAGCTTGGGAGTCACTGCAGCTGAGCAGGGAAAGGGAGGTGGCTGTGAAGGCTGGAACATGACAGCAAACTTGGTAAACACTGCACACTTAGGCTGCACTGCATTTATTTACTTTTAAAATTTCTTTCTTCAAGAGTAAATTAACTTTAGCTTCCTACTATTTTTCACTTCATAATAAACTTATTTTTAATTTTTTTGAAATAACATTTAACTTAAAGCACATTGTATAATTATACAAAACTATTTTCTTTCTCTCTTCTTTCTTTCTTTCTTTTCTTTCTTTCTTTCTTTTTCCACTACTGGGGACTGAACCCTGGGCCTTCTCACTGAGCTACACCCCAGCGCTTTTTTATTCATTAATTTTTTTTTTTTTTAATTTTGAGACAAGTTCTAGCTAAATTGCCCAGGCTGGGCTTGAACTTATAATCCTCCTGCATCAATCTCCCAGGGTACTGGAATTACAGGCATGTGCCATCCTGCCTGGCTTTTTTATTTTCTTACTTTCTAAGCCTTTTTTTTTTTTTTTTTTTGTGTGTGTGTGTGTGTGTGTGTGTGTGTGTGTATGTGTCAAAAGCTAAGCCACAAACACACACATCATCCTCGGCCTGCATAGGGTCACGATTGTCACTATCACTGTCTTCCACTTGCACATCTTGTTCCAGTGGAAGGTTTTCAGGGGCAATGATATGCATGGAGCTGCCACCTCCTCTAACAATGTCTCCTTTTGGACAGCCTCGGAGGTTATTTTACAGTTAACTTTAGACAGAAAGGTAAGTGTATATTCTAAAATCATAATAAATAGTAAATACAAACCAGTAACAATATTTCAACAAGACCAGTATTATACACTACATATAATTATATGCATTGTATTATTATTATTATTTTGGTGATACTAGGAATTGAACCAAAGTGCTGAGCTATATTCCTAGCCCATTTTCTTTGCTTTTTAAATCTTAACTCTCCCCCTCCAATTTATTGAATTGAGGGCTTCCCATATGGTAGGCGAATACCACTGAGCTACATTACATCCCCAGCATATTTTTGTTGTTGTTTTAAGACAAAGTCTCATTAAGTTGCCCAGGCTAATCTCCAGCTTGCAATCCTACTGCCTCGGGCTCCTGAGTAGCTGGAATTACAGGCATGTGTCACAGGTTGCATCTGTGATGTGCAACTGGCAATGCAATAGGTTCGTTTGCACCAGCGTCACAATGGGCAGAATAAGCACTGAGCTATGATATTACGATGGCTAGGACAACAGTTAGCAACTTATCTTAGCCCTATCTTATGGGATCACTGTCATAGATGCAGTGTCTGATTTGGGTTCAAATTTAATACTGTCAAAGACAACACAGTAAGTGGTAGATGTTGGTGGACTTGTACTGAATGGTTCCAGAGGTCAAGTTTGGGCCTCACTTTAAAGTAGAAAGGAGAGGAGCAGGACATGCCTGTATTCTGTTACTCCAGAAGATGAGGCAGGAAGATTCCCTGAGCTCAGGATTTCAGGGTTAGCCTGAGCAATATAGCAAGACCTTATCTCTAAAACAAATAAATAAGCAAAATTTTTTCAATAAAATAGGGCTACTTATATTTACAAAGTTAGGGTGAAAGCTAGGGCTCAGTATTACCAGTGATCATTTTCTGTGTTTGTTTTTAGCACCAAACATCAAACTCAGGATGCTTACCAGGATGCACTGTGTCACTGATCTATAATCCTGGCCCACCAGTGATCATTTTTAAAGACAAAGCCTCAAGTTACAGTTGTTAGCGCCTAACAAAAAATGTGATTTGAGCCACATTTGTAAATTGAAATTTTATTTACCACATTAATAAAAGTAAAAAAAAAAAAAGAGGGCCAATCTGATGCTCTTCATCAGACCTGTGCTTTCTTCAGTTCTTCAAGATGAAGTCCTTTCCCTATCTCTCTTAATTTCTAACTCTGCCTAATAAACCTGCCTATTCCTCACAAAAAAGTAAAAAAAAAAAAAAAAAAAAAAAAAGATGAAATTCGTTTCAGTTGTATATCCAATATACCAAAAGTATTATCCTGTTAATGCAATTAATCTAAAAATGTGACAATTAACATTTTGTTTCATACTAATTCTGGTAACTTGGCATCTAGTTCACACAGCACACCTCTGTCCAGGCCAGTCACAAAAGCCATCTGTGGTTACTGGCCACTGGACAGTACCTCTGTACAAGATGGTCACGAGCAAGACAAAAGGCCTAATTTAGTAGAAATTCAGAAATCCCAAGGTTGGAAATGGAGTATCTCAAGGGTCTGGAACAAACATTGACACTAGGTGATATCTGAATCTGAACTACAATGTCTCTGTGAAGGGGGGTCTTCCAGAGGCAAATTCCCACTCCAGGGATGGTGAGTTCAGTCTAGCCTGTCTTTAACTCCAAGTTCCTCCTTATAGGAAGGCACATTCTGTTTCCTTACAATGCCCACCCTGCTAGGTGAGTACCCCTGAAGTCAGGGGTGGTTAGTGGACCTGTAGGGTTGATTAAATGAGACAGCCTTGCTAAAGCTTGGTTTATGATGATTTTTGCAGCTTAGTGGCATGGATAGTTAAGGGGTTTTGCTGACTAAGAAGGATTGGGACAGTTAAGAACTAAAACACTCCAGGCATGGGAGTACATGCCTGTAATGCCAGCACTGGGGAGGCTGAGGCAGGAGGATTGCTGCGAGTTTGAAACAGCCTGGATTACATAGAAAGACTCTATCTTAAAAATACCAAATAAATAAATAAATGGAGAGAGAGAACTGCTGGAAGGTTAGGGCTGGACATCTAGTTGAAATCACCTATTACAGTGTAACAAAACTAACAAGAAACAAAAGCAATAAAGACCAAGAAATGAAAAAAAAAAAAAAAAAGAGAAGGGAGAAAGGAAAGGAGAGGAAGGAAAGAACAGCATGCACATACAGTGCCTTCAACTAATGTGAGTGCTTTGGAGAACAAATCTGAATTTTTATAAACGTTTAAGGCATTCACAATAGAGTAAAGCATCACTGGGATCTAATTAATAAAGGATATTATTTCTAGTAGACTTGTGTTATAAATAACATTATCTTAAAACTTAAAGTACTCTGAAAATAACTTCTGAGACCCAGAAATCAAATGCACTTATTTCCTCTTTTTAAAAAACATATTCCTTATTTTTTAAAAAAACTAGAAAACAAAGAAAAAAAACTTCCCTGTTTCCTTCAGTTTTTCTTTTAATGACACCGACTGCCTGAATTTTGGCTAGTGGTCCTTCAAGTAATACATTTTTGCTCTATTTCCATTTCCTCTATATTCCCCCCCTTGGCTGCAGGAAGGTGTTCTTCTCCTGGCCTCCTGCACCCTCCCGTCCTCCCCAAGTCTACCTTTCCAAGGCAGGGGAGAAGGTGCATCCTCGCCTTCCTAGTGCCTCTGGCCAGCAGCCTGGGAACGGCGCGCCCTGGACATCCATTAACGTTTATACTACATCTCGGTCCCCAGCGCAGCTGCTCCGGGCTGCTCCCGCCGCCAGGCGTCCCCCACCCGCTCGCACCCGGTCAACCGCGCTTGGGGGCAAATTTTGGAACAGAAGCTCCGCCCATCCTTCTCCCTCCCGCCTGCACCAAACCAACTACAACACCCCATCTCGGGCTGCCAGTGTAGGTTGCATCACATGATCTAGGCTGATACTATCTATCTATCTATCTATATATATATATGTATGTATATGTGTGCATATATAATTTTTTTTTCAAGAAAACGAGCATGGGGAAAAAAATTCAAACTTCACGCGCCGGCCAATGGGAAGGAGCGCGGGGTGGGCGGGGAAGCGCGCGGCGGGCGCGGTGGGGGCGGGGCGCGCGGTGAGCGCCGGGCCGGGACCGCAGGGGATTCGTAAAAAAACGCGGCGGGCGCCCAGTTTGGGGCTGTTTTTTTTTCCTCCAAAAGTAGCTAAAACACGAGACTCTGCACTCCCTCCGATCCACCTTAAATCTTTAGTGGACTCGGCGCCGGGGTCAGTGGGCGCAGCCAATGCCAATCAAGTTTACAACCACCAGCACAGAAGGGGAGAAAAAAAGAGAGAGAAAAAAGTAATCTTCAACTTCTCCCCTCCACACACGCACACACACAAATACACGTACGCACGCACACACGCACAGACACACGCACACAAAAGGAAGGAGCGAGTGGGGGTTCGCGCTCCGGGAAGGGGGGTAAATGTTTGCAAACTGCGCACTCGAGGCTAGCTGGCTGCGGCCACGGAGCCGAGGAACGACGGCGACGACGCGCGGGAAGTGCGGCCCGACCCGAGCGCCATGATGGTCGCCGCGGTTCGGAGCCCATTTTCTGCAGGGGGAGCTGCAGTGATGCAATCCCCCGGCCCGCGTCCCGACTTCGCGCCCTTCTCCCTGCGTTTTCTTAACGTTCTTTTGGAGGCGCGTCGAATTTCGCGCCCAAAGTCTTTTTTTTTTTTAAATGTGTTTCCCAACTTCCCGAACCTGCCTAGTCTGTGCGTCCCCACGCGTGACAAGTCCGGTGCGCGTGATGGCCGCACAGGGACTTGGGTTGACGTGGAAAACACCACTTTCGGTTTGGCGGGGTCGGCTGGCGGCTGACCCCAACCTAACCCAGCCCCCGCGCGAGTGAGCGGGCGGGCTCGGGGAGGCGTCCCCCAAGGTTTCCCAGCACTATCGTGGGTCTCCTTTCCCTACCCAGCTATATTCAGCAGAAGATTCGCCTCATTTTTTTTGGCCGGGAAGGAGGTGGTAGCGAGGTGTAGGGTGTGACTCAGGTGAAAAAGAGACGGCAAGTTAGAGAAATTCACACTCAGAAAAACAAATCGACGATGCTAGGCGAGCTTTGGAAGCACCTTTTTAAAATCCGAATGGCGAGTGTGTGTGACTGTATTGCAGATTAAGACGCAATGGCGAAGCAGGGTTCCCTGGCGTCCTGGAAAGGTCGTTCAGGGTGGTGGTCGCACCGGGCCCCAAGGGCGCCTTGCCTAGCCCTCTCGCATCCGTTGAAGTCTACGTTCCCTTTTGCGCCCTGATCGCGCCCCCAAACCCACATTTCCCCATTCTTCCCGGCCTGGGTTCCCCCGTGCTGAGCAGCTGGGGAGGCAATTGAGGAAACTTGGCGAAGCCAGGGTGAAGGCAGGGGCGCCCCGAACGCGGCCTTCGTTCTCGGACCCCGCTGCGCGCAGCCGTGGCCGCCCCTGGCCGCGGGCGAGCCGCTAAGGCTTTCGAAATGCGCGGGGCTGCGGATCATTGGAGCCCGGGCTAGGGGTGGGAGCGGGCTGCTGCCCCGGAGGGTCCGCGCACCCGGAGAGGGTCTCCAACCTCGCTTAAATCCCGACACCGCTCAGGAGGCGGCAAGGTACGAGTGTAGGGAGGAAAGAAGGCTTTCGCTGCTCTTTTAATCCGGAGAAGCGATGATAAATAAGGGAAGAAAGTTTCAGAGAAACCGCCCAGCCCCGTTGCGCGGGCAAAGGCACGGCCGCTCTCCGCGGCCTGCGGGCGCCCAGAGCGCGGGAACTGCGCGTTGCGACCCGGGCAGTGAGGGAACTGCAAGCTGCAGGAGAAAGTGGGACTTGATGGCCTTTTTGTTCTGACGCTCCAGCCAATGCGACCCGCAACTGCCGCGACGGACGAGCAGGCGCGGGGCCCAAGGAAAGTTTGGCGGGACGACGCTGGTGCACTAGCCTGGCTGGTGGGCAGCGGGTGGCTGGCGTCGGCGGTTGCATCCCCCGCAGAAGATGCTAGCGGTGGGCCCGGCAGACCGGGTCGGGATGGGGACAGGGCAGTCTGAACCGCAGGATGGTTTTTGGGAGAGTTGACATGGAGGTGCACAGGGCGAAGGACAGGGTGACTTGGGGGCTGGGTCCCTGCGAACGTGTCTGGCTCAGAGGGCACCCTCTGACTTCCCGGTCTTGCTTTCCTAAAACGCAACCTCTAAAAATTCACATTAAAGAGATCTCTTTGTGAAAGGAAAATGAGGACAGGTCTCAGTTAAAATGATGTTTCTCTCCTCTGTTAGGACACTTTCTGAAGTACCTTTTTTATTCAGAGGAAACTAAATTTTATTTCATTACTTCCTGACCTTCCACTCCTTTCTGCCCATTTTGAATTGTTTTCTTCCTCTCTCTTTCTGAAAAACACGCTGTATACGTGTTTCAGACAGTCACAAAAACACCTTTGGTCTTTAATTAAAATAATACCTACTTGAAGGAGGTGGGCCAGCCACCACCAAAGGACCTATTTTTCCTTTCCTGGCTGCAGGAATCAGTTCTGCTTTAGGAAAAAAAGAAAATTTCGGGTCAAAAAATTCTGAAACTTTTATTTAGGGCTGCTTTTGGGGTGCAATGATGTAAATAATAGTATTTGAGTGCAACAATTTAACCCAAATTCAGATTTTTACAATTTGCCCATTTGCAGATCCCTATACTCTACACCTTTTTTTTTTTTTTTTTTTTGAGAACATAAAATAACAGGATTTTAGTAAATCTGAGTTTAAATTGTCTAGTCTTACAATATTTTAAGTAAAATCATTTATCTCTACTGTGTGGATATGGGGACTCAGGCCCCTCAGATGTGGTATTCTGATTAGTTTGGGGATGTACAGATTATAGCCAGGATATTTAGAAACTGAGGAATTGGTGTACAAGGACCAGTGTCACTTGACAAATACTTAAATTCACACAGAATGCACACCAATTTCTTAAGGACCCATACGTTTTAATATTTTGGGTAAGACTGGTAAATTTGGTGGACTAAACAACTACTTTTAATTCCTTACTTTGTGTAAATAACAGAATTTAGAGAAGTCATGGTGTTACTTTCATTTTCAATCCTGTGATATGTGATCAGTCTACACTTATGTAAGGATTTTTGGTTCTGACACATCCCTTATCCTAAAAGATAAATATTTTAACTAATGGGGATTGTGACAGCATTTTTTATAAGAAAATGTGGCTTTTCTACTTCCCACTCCAAAAGTTTTGTCCACTCATGCAGAACTAAATGGAAAATAGTAACAATTAACTGCATTCAGTCCCACACAAAAGCATCATCTGAGTGGGCCTGAATTATCTAGATATTTGTCATTTTCTATCTGTATAAATATGACTACAATGCCACGCTGAACACCTTGAGCTTAGTAAAGCACATCACAGTTCCACTCAATTAATAGCTATGGAAGTTTTCTTTATTGATTGTTTGAAGTGTAACAATAATTGGCATTTTTTCACACATTACAAAACATACTTGGCTCAGTATGCAACCTTTTAAGCATAGCCATATTATTTAACAAAAGAGGGGGAAAATCTACTCTACCCAATACAGCATTTACAAATGCACAAAACACGCCACTTTGGCTTGTATATTGTCTAAATTTTAAAAAATCTTTTTAACATAAATAAGTTAGTATAATTTTTCAGTGTCTTTACAGAGTTATGTACACAGGTACACTTCAAATGCTTTTGCCTCATACACATACACAGGCAATGAAGAAATACTGTTTAAAGATGTAGTATCCATTTCACTTATTCTACCAGTGTGCTTTTCTCTATATGCACTTTCCTTTAAAAACACCACTTTCCTGTGGGCAAATTAACAAATAAAAGTGAGGTTTTAAATTCAAAATTATTTCATTATTTTGTGTGTGGTTAGATCTTTAAAAATATCCAGGAATTTAGAATTATTTTAACTGTGTGTACACAACCCAAGATGAAAAGAAAACACATTTTTCTCAACAAATACTGAAGTTACTCAACTCTGAGCATTCAGGACTTCCCATCATACCCCCCAGGTTTTTGCCCAGAATTACCCGGAGTGATTACCAACAGATGAAAATTAACTGGTAAATTCCAATTTTTAGGGAAAGCAAAAAGGATAGTTTTTTGATTTTTTAAAAGCCATTTGTTGCTACATAACAGAATCATCAAAACTCCCAAATGAGAATGTTTCATGAAAAAATAAATAGCAACTATTTGTAGCTAGTGTTAAAATTTCTTTGATTTTAAAAATGAAACACCAGCTCTCACTGAAAGGGACATTACATCTTTAAAGAAAACAATTCAAACCCTTCCCTAAAATTGCTTCTCTTCATGCAAGTCTTTTTCTCCTTGCTATAAATTGAAGCAAATTTTACATATACCCCCATGCGAATTCCTCAGTTCCACCCACCCTCCCTCCCTCCCCCAATGTTTATGTGCTACATAAAAGATAAAAACTATATACACAGGTAGTACAATGAAGCAAATAAGGAAAAACCTAATTGCACAATGCTACATCCAATGCTTTTAGAGGCAGGTCATTTAAGAGTGCCTAAAATTTTAGTGTTATTGTGTTGTTGCTTTCAGTGCTTATACAGGATGTCCATTCCATGGAGTCAGCGATATGTATTTAAATTTCTTAATGTATATCTTCCTTGCTTCATCAATCGGTCATATATCTGATCAACAAGGAAACATATTAACTCTGCAAAAGAAACAAGGAAGAATTAAGAAAGAAACCACTATAAAGTATAGGAATTATTTTGCTACTATGTTAGATGGGGAATACCTGAATGCTGGACTAAAAGACTGATGACTATAGTTACCTCCATCTAATACCGTCTTAACTGGGCTTTTGCTCTCCTCTGTTGTGTTAGAGCAGCAGTTCTTAACTAACAGATGATATTGCCCTCCCACCCCCACCCCATGGGACATTTGGCAATGTCTACAGAAATTTTTGGTTGTCACAACCAGGGGAGGATTGCTACTGGCATCTAGTGGGAGAGGCCAGGGATACTGCCAAACATTCTAAAATGCACAGGACAGCCTCCCACAACAAAGAATTATTCGGCCCCAAATGTCAATAGTGCAGAGGTTGAAAAACTCTAAAGAATGTGGGTCAAAGAGAGTGAGAAAGAGAAAAAAAGGAAATTCAGAAACTGTGAAACCTAAGAGTAGCATAATTTTTTATCTCTGAAAAATACTTGGAAATGTAACTTGTAAAGGCCTCTGTAGGAAAATTCTATTAATATCGAGGGTTTCCCCCAATATCCTAATGTATTATTCACATGAATATTAATACATATGAATATTTTTAATAAGTCCTTATTACTTATTTCTAGTATTCTTTGAACTGGTGATATTACTAGCAAATGTCTGTCTGGCTGTGTATCTGAATGGGGCCTGATCAAAATCCAGTAGGTATGACTGATGTAGCTCATTTCATTAGGTAGGCCACAAGTCACAAATCAGTGGAGTTGCAGGTGTTAAGGTTATTCAAGAAAATTATTCATCCAATTTCCTCACTTTATATAGAGGTGTACTATACAAGTTCTATAGTGCCACTCTGTATTAGCTCTGAAAAATACCAGATGTATGTCGACAAGTCATAATATGACATTATGATTTAAAAACAACAAAACTGAATCTCACCTTAATCCCTATGGTCTTTATTTTTTAATTTTTATAAACGATGATTTAAAAGTTACCATTGGTGTCTATTAAGATCTCTTTACATGTTAAGCTGAATGTGCTTTAAAAAACAAGCAGTCCCAATTCTTTCTTATAAGAAGTGTATTCATTTGTGTATTTAGTTTGATCATTATAGACAGCCAATCTATGTAAATTTAGGGGCTGGATTATTTAAATTAGCTATTTGAGGCAATCAGATTTTCATACCTAGAAAAATCTTCACTTGTGCTGTATACAACCCTCCATCTATTTTCCCCTAAAATATCCAAATCATCCTATTACAGCACAATTAGCATATGGGCTGACATGTTCCTGGATTGCTTACTCCAGCAGCCAATTTAACTTCTGCTTTGCTACTTCAGCGCTATCAGAAATTCTGCAGAGACTTTAGTGATTTTGAGCTTTCCACTTTGTACTTTTTTTTAATATCTCAAGTTTCCTTTTCTCCCTCCAAGCTTACCAATTTACTTATCTTTTATAAAGAAAAAACAATACAGAGCACACCTTGTTCACATTCCTAACCCCTTGCCAAGCCAAATCTTAAGCTACTTGTACCTAATGTTTTCCTCTACACTTAAGTATGATCATGAATTTGCCATTTTTCTATGTATGGCTCAACATTTGTTACTGACTCAATTAAACCTGTAGGAAATGAATTCTCATGACATGGGTTACCCTACTCATTGTTCAGACTGGTAAAGAATCTATTGTTCCCACCATGTTTTGGTGGGACTCACAGGGACTTGACCTTGCTACCCCTGAAGTCTTGGTTACAAGTACTTGCCTGGGAGACTTGTTCTGGCTGTGTAATATTATAAGGAAAAATCATCCTGGACTTAGGACACTTTGAAAAATTACTAATAACCTCACAATGATTTCCAGCTTTTCCCACTGCTACTTTTGTGAGCTCAAAAAATAAACCAGAACAAAGCCCCTATAAGGTACTAATCTGCCAGGAACCAGTAAGGTCCAGTACCCCAGGGTTTGAAGGCCCGCAATGCGCTTGGGTGTGAGTTTCCTGCTCTGAGCGATCAACCCACCGAGCTGTTTACGTTTGACGTCTTCGGAGGCCAGGCTTCTTGGGCGTCTGCTCCACAGAAGTTGCGTTGGGGGAACCGTCTGAAACATTTTCTTCTGTTCTGTTCGCTCTTTTGTTTTGAGAAGAAGAATCTGAAGGCAAGGAGAAATTTTAAAAAGAACACACACAAACAATCTTTATTAGCAAAAACAATGGCTTGACAGAAGTTGGCCCAACAGTCCAGGGATGAAAAGCCCACCACCTCCACCCACAACCTAGATCCATCATTCCCTGTGGCCTTTAAGGGAACAAAATGAGGTTGTTGCCGCACAACAGAAAGCGTATTCTACGCCCCGCATCCACCTCTCTTTCTTTTTCTCGCCACCCCCCCCCCAAACAGTTGATAAACATCCCAAAGTTGTCACAAACCTACAGCTGCCTAGAAGGGAGGAGCTGTGTGCGATGTGCTTGGTTAGGGACATAATAACAGCCTAAGTATCTCTGGCTTCTGACTTCAAAATTGTAAACAGAGAGCCAGGGAGGATTTAAAATCTAAGATCAACAAAGTTCGATTCCCAAAAGCTACAATGGAACAACGCCGAAAAGCTGAGGTTAACACGCCCAAGCAGGCAAAAGGGATGCGACAGACAGACATTTTATGGTTTTGAAAGGGTCATACCGTCTGTGGCAGGTCGCTTCCTGATGCCTGCGCACTGCTCCGCTAACCCCGTCTGGCTGTCTGACGGGTCAGGCTTTGGGTCTACCAAGTGCGTGTCCTCAGAGTTTGCCTGAGACCCAATTAAAGGCACCGCCTGGCGGTTCCCACTGACATCCTGGCTCTCCTGCGGAGGCACCTTGCCCGCGCCTTTGGGGGGCCGAGGGGGTCTGTAGTAGAACTCGGGCAAACTGCCCTTTTCCACCTCCTGCCACTCGTATTTGCCCTCCAGAGGCTTGTGATTCTGAAAATCGAAATTCCACTTGCGCTGGCTGGCCTCTTCCATGTCTCTGCAGTGCTTCTCCAAGTCCCGGGTTAACTCTTCGTGATTCACGGGCCCGAAGAGGTTTCTGCAGGCGGAGGGCTTGGGGTGCTCTGGCTGCCTGGCGTCCATCCGCTCCAGGCTGGGGCTCCCGTTCGACACTCGCACGTTTGACATCTTCCTCCCGCTTGGGTCTCGACGACCGCCTCGATCACGCTCTCAAACAAAAACAGAACCAAAAAACAAAATAAAAAAAGACACCTAAAAAAAGAAAATCAAAAACGCCCCGATGCAGCCCAATCCTCTCTTCTACGTCCCTGCGACTGCGCTCGGAGCTGAGGGAAACAAATCCCGCCGCGTCCGTCCGCGCCTGAGCTGCAGGAGCGCGCGGGGTCCGGGCCGGAGTGCGGGGAGCCCCGGCCAGGCAGCGAGAGTCGCCGCGGATCAAGTGTACGGCGGAGCGGAGGGCGGGGAAGCGAGGGGAGGAGGAAGGAGGAGGTGGCAGAGCCAGTCCAAGTCCGGGCTGCTGCACCCCGCGGGCCCCGCGAACCCAGCCCTCTCCAAACCTCGCTGCCGTCGGAGTCGCGGCGCAGTGAGAAACTGGGGAGAGGGTAAGGGGGAGAAAAAAACACCCCGAAAAGACGAGTCCCCTCTGGCTTTTCTTTTTTTTTTTTTTTTAGTTGCCCAATATGGCGGTGGAAGGGAGGCTGACGAAGAAGAAAATGATTGACACGGCGAGTCTATTTAAACAGAGCCGGAGACTCATTGGTCGCGGCGCCGGGAGCCGCCCAGCCGAGGCTGGCGAGCGCGCTCTTAAGGTGGCCCCCGCGCGCGCCCCCGCTTCCCCGAGCGCCGCCCCGAGATCTGCTGGTCGCGTGACTGCTGGAGGTGCGCGGCTGCCAGCAAACCTGCTCTGGCTGGCCTCGGAGAAATTAAAAATAAGGCAAACTAGCCAAACGGCTGGGAAGCTGAGGAGAGGCCCGGGGAGGGGGCGTCCGCGCCGGCTGGCACGCGACTGCTCCTCACCACGAAATCGAGGGCCTGGACCAGAGGATCTCCAAGGTCGCTGGCCTGGAGGCTCCGTGGCCAGCTCGTTTTTGCACGCACTGCCGATCCCGGGATGCGAGCGGCTGCGGGGTGGAGGCAGATGGTGGGAGCTGCGCCCCCCAGTTCAGCTCTCCGCCGTGGCCCTCACTCTGGGCCGAGCCCTGGGAGGCCCCTGCCTAGGCGCCTTAGCTGGGGGTGGGCAGTGGTTAGTTCGCCTTCACTCACGAGTCTGCTGTCTTAGCGGCAGGCCAGAGGCTTAGGGAAGAAGCCAGGGCAAACGTCTTTCTATAAATTAGCAGGGAGTAGACGCCAGCGGCACTTGTATGTGCTGAACCCCAACTCTCCCTCTATGAAAATAAGACTCTCCAGATCAAAAACTCAGCTGGTCTCTCAAAGGCCCTTAATAAACTTTGTAGCCAGCCGTCCCAGACACATTTAGTTTCAAGAGGGGAAAAAAAAAAAGCAAGGTTACACCCCTGGCTCAGGTTCTTGCTTCCCCAGCACAGTTAAGGCCATTGACATTGGCTGCGTGTGAGAACTCGTCTCTTTATACTTTTCAGTTCTTTCCTGGGCTGTAGCCGTTTCCTCTACCTGAGTCCAGCCGCCAAATACAACAGCTCTTTCCTTCCTCCCCTTTTCTCTCCCACCAGATTCGCTGCTCCAATCCACTCAGCACGATATTCAGACGCAAGTGAATGCTTGCAGTGGGCTAGAGCTGGTAAAGGGCGAAAATACTTGAACCAAAGTCCAGTTTATGAAAAGATTTACAAGACCAGCACAACTGTGTGCTAACATCTAGTATTATTACTTGGACAGTTCGCTGCCCCTCTTTACAACTTCAAATTTGTCTGTGGATGTGGCTTGATCTCCATAATGCAAGTAAAAACAGAATGAGCAGGACTGTCATTGCCGAGATGGAGCTTATTGCGGATTTCACTGCCTCTCTATTCACATTCCCAATACAGAATATCTTGGTATGGACCCAAATTAATAGATTTTATGGGAAACTAACGTCCTGGGTGTTTGGTTTGGTTGGTTTTACCTTTGTTTTGTGGTGCTAGAGACTGAAGCCAGCACCTTCACACTGAGCTACACCCGCAGATTGATTGATTGATTGATTTTAATTCCTGAGACAGGGTCTTGCTAAGTCACTAGATTTCCCAGGCTGGGCTCCCGTTTACAATCCTGCCTCAGCCTTCTGTTTCAGTGTTAGCAGCAGTGCTTTCTCATGTTCCTGTGCTGTGGCTGAGTTTGATTTTTGTTTTCTTATCCACATTTTGTCCATTGTGTGTGCTTGCTTCACCTCTTCACACTCAGTGTTACAGCTAGGAGGGCCCTTTGGGACCCTAGGGTTTAACACTGCGGATGGTTCCTTTGTTGTCAGCGCAGTCACTACCATTTAAATGCAGCCAGCTCTCACTGGCCTTTGGTATCACCATCCACTAGGTCAACTGAGACACAGATTTTAAAAACACAGTGTGGTACCCAGAGAGCAGCAAAGGAGGCAGGCGTCCAGAACTAGATTAAGTGTCAGGACTTCTACCTCACTGGCAGAAAGAGTTCACTTGGGACCAAAGCAGGAGGTTCACTTTGGTTTTTTCTTTTTCTTTTCCTTCCTCCCCCTACCCCTCCTTTTCAAGATGCAGGTCTAAATTGCCTAAAGCAGCCTTGAATTTCTGGGCTCTGCTTCAGCCTCCCAAGCAGCTGGGACTACAACTCCACACCTCTGCAGCCAGTTTCTTTCTTTCTTTTTTTTTTTTTTTTTTTTGTATTTCATTCCCCTTCCCCTCCTTAATTTATGGGACCTGGGCTTGGGGAAGAGGGAACAGGGAAATTCCCTAAAATTAGTTAATGTTCAAATTTTACAGTAATTTCTAGACTGCACAGGAATTTTATTTTGTTAGTATACATACATACACATCTTTACCCAAACTACCCCAGATATGTAAATGAAGTTCTAGAGTATTTCACCTTGCCACAGAAGTGTGATTGTATACATGGTAGTATCATCTATAATGAAAAAGAAAAAATTAACACTTCTATCTCACACACAGGTTTAATCTTTGAGCTAATATATAGGAACACTGCTTTGTTGCTTTGTTAATCTTAAAAGTAAACGAGTCATGGTCATGCCACCTTAAGAAGTCTGGTTGGCAGCGAAAGGCTGTGCTTACACCCACCTCACTGTGATCTAAAGTGTTTTGTTTACAGTCAAGGAACCAGGAGATCTGTAGAGCAAATAATGAGAAGGCAGGCGTCTGCTGTAGTAGCGATGAAGCGTGGAAAGAACAAGAAATACCGTCGAGCCCCTGAAGAAAGAGGGAATCACGGTGCTATCCTCCTGCAAGAGTAGGCAGCTGTGAAAAAGCAAGCCAGAGAGAAAATTTTCACACAAACAGTGGGAGGGCGGAGCCTGGAGAGAAGAGCTTTCAGCCCCGCACTACTTGAAAATGGGTGCTGCCTCCAACCCCCTAGTGCTCAGTGACGTTTTTGTTGTCATTTTCACTCTTGGTGGTTTCCTACCTGCAGTCGAAAAGTGTCACATAGGCCACCCCAAGTTCCTGTATCTTTCACAAGCCTAGGAGAGAGGCAAAGACCAAAACAACTTAAAAGAAAACACCTGTGTGACAGACAAGTGTCCCCGATGGGGCAGTTGGGAACAGCTGTGTCAGCCGGGCTCCCAGATGCAGTCCTCTCTCTGTCGCTCAGGAGGAAAAGACGCAACTCAAAAGGTTCCTGGGAAGACTACAGCTTTCCCAGCTCAGCCACCCCTCCTACCCTAACACACCATTTTAATCCTTTTTTGAGACTGTATTGCATCACCCTCCATTGCATCATCTCCCTAAACTGACATTTTTAGTGTTTGAAAATTTCAGTCATCTGTTTCTGACGCTTGATTTGTTTTAATAAATATTTATTGAGCACCTTCCATTAATTTGCTTATTTCTTTCTTTCAACAGCTATTTAGTAAGTGCCTTCTATATGCCAGGCATTATCCTAAACTCTGGGAATACAGAAAAGAAAGCAAATGAGCCTTTTATTCTAGGAAGGGAGGAGAGAGAGAAAATAAACAGAATAAAGGAGCAAAATACTGTACTACTAAGGGGGAACTCATAGTGTAGAGAAGAAAATCAGCAGAGAAGGAAAGAGTTTTGCAAGCTGGGTGTGGTGGGGCAAGCCTGTGATGCCAACACTCTGGGTGACTGAGACAGGAAGATGCAAAGTTCAAGCCCACCCTGGGCAACTTAAAGACTTAGTGAAACACAATCTCAAATTAAAAAATAAAAGGAGCTGGGACTGTAGTTGAGTGTGATGGCTGGGAATATAGTCCAGTGTGAAGGCTCTGGGTTCAATCTTCAGTACAGCTGGAGAGAGAATGTCAGGAGTCACAATGTGAATAAGGTGGTCAGGGAAGGCCAGCCGGAGCAGATGGCCTTTAAGGAGCAACAGATATGCAGATATCTGGGAAATGTTCCAATAAAGAGGACAGCAAACAAAGACTCTGAGGTGGGATCTCCTCGCCTGATGTGTCAAAGGAAGCTCATGTAATAAACAGGATAGAGCAAGGGGAGAAGAGTAATAAGGGTGTTAGATTGTGTAGGACCAAGTAAGCCACTTGGAGGGCTTCCTATTTATTTTTCCAGTACAAGGAGTTGAACCAAATGGCCGCTGTGCTACAGCCCCAGCCTCCCTGTAGGACTTTTTTGAAAAACAGTGAAGACACTGAGATATTAGAAGGTTTTAAGCAGTGAACTGATGCGCTCTTCACGTGTATGGTGTTTCCTAGATATTGTTCTCACAGTGTGGGCACTGAAGAGATGAATAAGTCCTTATCCCTGCTCATGTGGCATGTACACCCTAGAGAAGGAGACTCCTGTGTACATTAAAACTAGAGAGAGTTGAGGATGGTGGCGAGTACTCAGGAGACTTAAGGGAGGAGGATCACAAGTTCAAGGCCAGCCTCGACAACTTAGAGTCTATTTTAAAATAAAAGTTTAAAAAGGCTATAGCTCAATAGTAGAGTACCCTAGGTTCTATCCTGGGTACCACAAACACACACAGTAGAGATGGAGGGTAATACACAGAAGAATATGATGCTATTTCTCTTGCTATCAAAAAGAAAAAATAAATTTTTATTTTATTGAATCATTACATTTTGGCTTCTTTTGTTGTAGTATTCTGCAGTCAATCCTAACCAATACAATGGGAAATGTTCAAGGCATAGAGAAAAGACAAGATTAACAATCTGGTTAATATTATAGTCAAGAAAATTATATGGGTATATCTGTAGGGTTAATAGGATAATTGTAAGGGTAATCTGTAGGGGTAATTATAGGGGTATATCTGTGGAATGAGACCCAATGGTCATAAGAGGCATACTTAAAAAAAAAACTCCTACCTGTGAGCTAATAGGAACCAATGGAATATATGATGAAGAGAATGATATGACCACTACTCAAACTTGTCCCCTGAGTTGAAGCAAGCTTGGGATGTAAGAGTTCTGGGTTTGGATTTGTGAGTTTAGAATGACTTGCAGAAAGGGACTAAACTAATTCTCAGATCATGTCTAGGGGTGGACCAAGATGAGGACCTGGATGAGTAGGAGACAGCCTGCTGT